TCTTAGGTCCATGTGGGCTCCAGTAGGTCTTCTGCAATATCTGTGATGATTGGGATGCAGCTTAACAGATGATTCATCAGAGAAATTGACCTTCTGCCACTTTTTCAAATGATTAACCAGAAGTCAAGTTATTATCTGTTGCTCTTACAACTGGGATCAACAACAAGACTATTGTCAGGTAGTGCACATTTCATAAAAGTAATCAGACTTAACTCATGCATTCATTTTATGCATGCACAAATTATATCAGCACTAATGTAATTATTATTATTTATGTAAACTCTGGTGGGGTTTGCAACTTCTAAAGCAATCCATCTTGGAAATGAACAGCTATGATGACATAATTTAGACAGCAGCTATTTACACTGAGTAAAAAAATGGTGGCCGCTATTTAGACTGAGTACAAATACTGCTAGATACAGTTTATAGCAAGTATAAATAGCAACAAACAGCATTTTGTTTATGCAGGTGCAAATACTGACAGAAGCAACAGAGTATAAAAAGGGTTCCTGCATCACAGGTAAAGTATTTGAGTAACAGTGAGGCGTTACAGAGATCAAAATGAGTATATATTCATTTCATTTTCTTTTTGCGTATTCCCTTTATTAATCAGGGGTCACCACATTGGAATGAACCGCCAACTAGAGATCTGCGCGGGACTAAATTTTGAATCCCGCTCCCGCCCACACCCGCCAGGTTTTAGCCCGAACCCGACCGCTCCCGCTTATATTAAGCACTTGATGTCCCGCTGCCCGACCTGCTCCGTTTTCTATCCGCCGCGCCCGATCCCGCTAAAGAGCGGGAGGAGAACAAAACCGAAAAATCACCCAGTTATACAGTCCAGACAGCCTATAACAAGCTGTCTGTATAAACACACACACGCACAGCACCAAGCACACACACACACAGACAAAGCTTTCTCTCTCTCATTCGCGCGCCCTCTAGAACACACACTCATAAGCACCAAGCACAAACAGGCAAAGCTCTCTCTCTCTCTCGCGCACGCGCACGCACGCACGCACGCACGCACGCACGCACGCACGCACACACACACACCTCTCATTCGCGTGTGCATACATACACACACACACAAACTGCAACAAACAAGCTAAACACAGCATCGCGTTATTTCATTTACACACATACATACGCGTGCTCACTCGGGAGTCGGGAGCGATATTGCTAGACAGCCCCCTCCTGTCCCAAATTAAACGTTACCGACCGCTCCCGTGATTTGTTCGGAAATTTATACCCGCGCCGTAGAAATCTGGTCAGGTCCCGCGGCGCCCGTGGGATAGCCGCGGGAATGCAGACCTCTACCGCCAACTTTTCCAGCATATGTTTTACACATTTGTAAAACATATGCTGCAACCCAGTACTAGGAAACACCCATACACTTTTACATTCACACGCAAATACTACAGATGATTTAGTGTATTCACCTATACCGCATGTATTTAGACTGTGGGGGAAACTGGAGTACCCATGCCAACAAGGGTAGAACATGCAAACTCCACACAGAAATGCCAACTGACCCAGCCGGGGATCGAACAAGCAACCTTCATGCTATGTTGAGGCTACAGTGCTAACCATTGAGCCGTGAGTATACATATAAAAAAAGAAAAATGTATAAAAAATTGACGATGAGCTATTGATGCATAACCGGTGCGAAGATGTCCTCGGGGGTGGATTAATTTCTAATAATTCAAAGGCCGTGATAATTGAATCCACTTATACCTTGATTACCACACCTTAGACACTGAGTTCTGATGTTTTTTGGCCTCAAACCACTGTTGTGTGTGGGACTATTTTTTTGCATCTCATCCAAAACCCTTTTTTGGTTGGGTTTCTGTCAGTAGTAAATTAATTTAAAAGCTTAACTCATTTATGGAACTATATGTAAAAGGTTGCTGGAAAGTTGCATTAATCTGAAAATAAAGTAGCTGCACACATTAGAATGTTCATCAACCAATCAGAATCAAGCATTCAACAGCTTTGTAGTGTAGATGACTAATGCATTTCTCATTGATATTTGTACCTGGATAATTGATTTAAAAGAGCAGCTTTATGTATATATGTATATATATATATATATGTATGTATATATATTTATGTGCATTAGCATATTGGCTTATATATTGTGCATCTAACTATTGGATTAATGGGAGAATGTGCATTGGTCCACACCAACTTCATGTCTGGTGTACGTGCATTTCTTGTGTGTGTTTGTTTTATTTCCAATGGCGACTCCTGAAAAACATGTTAATTTAAAAGCTATTAAATTACAATTGTTAAAATGGGTCAATTGAAACAATCAAAATGTTTTTTTTTACCAATTATGTGATTCAGAACATATAAAAGCATTAGCAAATATATACAATATTGTGGCCTTGGTCAACCCATGATTCAGTCATCCTCACAAATGCATGATGGGTGGTTTCTTGGTGAGTGATGTATTTAAAGATATTATTCCAGCTAAGTTTTTATTTTATTTTATCAAGCGTAATTATCTAACTGCATATCAGGAGACCGCGGTTATCCATTAAAGACGTGGCTGTTAACCCCACTCAACAACCCACAAAACTAACCAAGTGCGCAGATACAATGATGCCCATTCTCACACTCGGTCAGTTTTAGAGTGGGTGATTGGGCAGTGAAATGCCGGTGGCGCTGCCTTGATAAGAGCGGAGGGCTGCTGCTATACTGCCCTAACAAAGTGTTCCTCTAATACATCTGTGTCTCCCACAACCACGGATACTACTCCAGACAGTAAAGTGTCGCCCACAATTGAGGCAACTCTCTCCTTAAAGGGTGTTCGTTCAGAATCCTCTGTTCCCCTGCCTGTTCGGTCCAAACTTTGACGGTGCGCCGCTGTTCTCCTCCTAACCTGCACCTTTACATCAGACTATTTCTTTTTTTAATTAGTACACAGTGCGATTTTCAGACTCCACTTAACGGTGTCAGCTCAACTCTCCTGCTCTATTTTTTTCTTTTGTTATTAATTCCAAAGGACAAACGTGCAAATAACAGTTTTTCTCTGGTCCACCTCCGATAGAAGCACCTCCAATTCCCATTCTGTGAAGTTTCTCTTCTTGCTTGCTTTTTGGTTTGGTTTAGCCAAAGTGGAGTCATTATATTTATACAGGGGAGGAGGCAAGGAGGGGTTTTGCGCTCGTGCGCTCAGTTTCACGTTAATTCGGATGTACAAAGACAATATGCGTGCAATTAAGCATACACAGTGTTTCATACATCTATATACATCTATATACATATATATATATATATATATATATATATATATACTGTATATATAGATCTTTTATGCAGTCACTCATGTAGCCTGTCTCTGAGGTCTTCTAGCAAAGACATTTTAGCCATTCCCAGAACTTGTCTTAAGACTAAAGGTGACCGTGCCTTTTGTGCGGTGGGCCCCCGGCTCTGGAACTCTCTCCCTATAGCACTGATTCTGGGACTAGTTGAACTTTTTAAAAAGCATTTAAGGATGCATTCAAGCTTTTAAATAACAGTATTAGTGTTTCGCATGGGTATTTATTTATTAAAAGAGGAAGAAAAACCTATTTGTGACTTGTGTAAGAATATTTTGTCGATAAAACATTTTAATAGAATGTGTATTTTTAAATGATGTGGAGAACATTTTTATTCGGGAAATATTTTAAGGGGAATGTTTGAAAAGATGCCTTCTGGAGCAATTTTAGAATACTTATCTTTAATCAAAGTAAAAGATTGTATATGACTCTTTTCAGTGTTGTTGCTACTTGTAAACTTTTTGTTGTTTTTTTTCCAATGTATGTTTGTTAGAAAAACTGATTTGATTATACGATTATATATATTTATTTGTATAAGTTTTTGCCATGAATACAGCCAATGCTGCTGATATGGCACTAAAACCTAAATAAATTAATAAAAATAAGTTTACTCTTACTGTAAAGCACTTTGTAACTCAATGTCTGGGAAAGGTGCTATATAAATAAACCTTTACTTACTTAAACCTTAATATACATACAATTAATTACTCTTGAATAAAATTGTAAAATAACATTTATTATAAGTATCATTCATTTTCCTTTGGCTTAGTGCCTTTATTCATCAGGGGTCGCCACGGAATGAACCGCCAACTTACCCAGCATATGTTTTACACAGCGATGTCCTTCCAGCTGCAACCCAGTACTGGGAAACATCCATACACTATCATTCACACACTCATACACAAATTCATATATTATGGCCAATTAAGTTTATTCAATTCATATAGCGCATGTGTTTGGACTGTAAAAAAAAAAAAAAACCCACACCAACACGGGGAGAACATCCAAACTCCACACAGAAATGCCAACTGACCCACCTGGGACTCGAACCAGCAACCTTTTTGCTGTGAAGTGACAGTGCAAACCACTGAGCCACCATGTCGCCCCATAAAAAATATATATTTATTACTATTTTCATCATTCATTCGTTCATTTTCCTTCGGATTAGTCCTTTATTTATCAGGAGTCACCACAGCGGAATGAATCACCAACTATTCTGGCAGCATCCCACATTACAGGTGCCAGTCAAAAATAAGGTAAGTGATTGCAAACAATTTTCCCAGAGATGGGTTGCGGCTGGAAGGGCATCCGCTGCGTAAAAACCTGCTGGATAAATTGGCGGTTCATTCCACTGTGGCGACCCCGGATTAATAAAGAGACTAAGCCGACAAGAAAATGAATGAATAAATGAATGCAAACGATTTATATGAGCTAATTTAAAGATACAAATTCAGTTGAACATCACAATTTAAGTTCAGCCCATATAAATTGTTTAAAACCACTTACCTAAAAAAATTTAGTAAATCTAGTGAATCATTTTTTCAGTGTCTAGGTGTTTAAAGCCCTTCATTGTGTCCTGATTTTGAGCATCCTCAGTGATTACAGTCTGTGGTAATCTGAGCCGTCCAGTGATCGGTGTGCTGGTAGAGGAGGAGTCACACACACACACACACACACAAAACACACACACGCATACACACAGGGAGGAGAAAGACTGACAGGGACGAGGGGAGTTCTCCATGCGCACACCCCTACAAACATACACACGCAACTCATCGCTTTACACACCGCCAGGGATCTTACGCACGAAACACTCTGACAAGCAAACCAGGATCTGGACAGACTCTACGCTTCACAAGGTAAGACTACAAGAATACGCTTAGTGTGTTTAAGTGCCTACTCACAGTTCTGTAATCTATTCATATTTAATTTGCATTTACTTTCACAATGTTCAACCAAACAAGCAGTAAGACATGCATTCAGTGCCAATCATCTTCCGAAATACCAAGAACTTGCTTAATTTAATCGAAATATTATAAGACAATTGTTTTCAGTCATAGAAAAAGGATCTGGAATGACTTAAGACTCTTAAAAAGGTTTACTAAAAATTCTCTGGCTTCACTTAACAGCTCTGTTGCAAAACCTTAGTGTTGTCTACACAGGCATCTTAACCTAGGGGAGCCTCATAAGGGATTGATTTGAAACGCTCTGCATAGGGACCAACTCTACGCACTGCGTAAATAGCGCTTTCCATGGGAAACTTGACTCACGGTTGGTTTTGATAGAGTTTGCGTGTTGCTAAGTAAATCGTATTACTGAATACTACAAACATGTCACACATGAATAAGGAGTGTTGTCTGTTTTAGTTAGATTTAAGCTCTTTTTACCATACTTTATTGGGATTGGCCAAGCTTAAGTTTTGCATTACTGTGAACACATCCACCTGCTTCCCCATAAAAACTGTGTCATACCAAGCGCGCATATAAAACATTTGGCTATGAATAGACTAGAGTTGTCTTTTATTGTGAGGCATGTGGGACGTCCGATGAAATGAAAATGCTTTAAACATTTTATAAATGATTCTCGACACACTTGATACGCTTTAACATAAATTACACGAAATGCATATGTTATGCACAAAAAAAATCTTGAAAATGAAATTGAAATGTATGTGTATTGCATAAGGTAGTTGCATATATTGCACTTTACCCATACTGACAATATTGTACATAAAATGACAGCTATTGCATGAGATTTGCACATATTGCCTGTATCGCATATAAAAAAAAAATTTTTTGGCACAAAAGTTATGCATATTGCACATAAAATGCCAGATATTGCAGGAGATGTATGCATATTGCTCATGAAATGCCATTATTGCATGGGATTTACACATATTGTCCATATTGCAAATAAAATGTCAGATATATTTCACAAGATTAACCCATATTAGCCCTAAAATGACAGATATTGCAGGAGATTTATGCATATTGCTCATGAAATGCCATTATTGCATGAGATTTACACATATTGTCCATATTGCAAATAAAATGTCAGATATATTTCACAAGATTAACCCATATTAGCCCTAAAATGCAAGATATTGCAGGAGATGTATGCATATTGCCCATGAAATGCCAGATACTGCACAAGATTTACACATATAGTCCATATTGCAAATAACATGTCTGATACTGCACAATATTAACCCATATTGGCCCTAAAATGCCAGATATTGCAGGAGATGTATGCATACTGCTCATGAAATGCCAGATATAGCATGAGATTTACACATATAGTCTATATTGCAAATAAAATGTCAGATATATTTCACAAGATTAACCCATATTGGCCCTAAAATGACAGATTTTGCAGGAGATTAATGCATATTGCTCATGAAATGCCAGATATTGGATGAGATTTACACATATTGTCCATTTTTGCAAATAAAATGTCAGATATATTTCACAAAATTAACCCATATTGGCCCTAAAATGCCAGATATGGCAGGAAATGTATGCATATTGCTCATGAAATGCCAGATATTGCACGAGATTAACATATATAGTCCATATTGCAAATAAAAATGTCTGATACTGCACAATATTAACCCATATTGGCCCTAAAATGACAGATATTGCACAAAATGTACACATTTGTGGCACTTGCCACTTTATACGCTTGAACATTAAATTGTAGGCCTTTCTGGCTCACATTTTATTCACTTTTAAATTCAAAAAGCTGCTAGAAAACGCACTTGCTACTTTATACATCATACGCACTTTTAGTATTGTATTGTTGCTCCTTTTATAATTAATTATTGTTGCCATATTATCTTTTTATCTTTTGTTATTATCGTTGTTGTTTTAGATAAATAGGACTGAACTGAAGGGAAAGGCAAACGTAAATTGTTGTATTTTGTACAATGACAATATAGATTCTGATTCTGCCCATATTGAACATAAAATTCCTGATATTGCAAGAGATTTATGCATATTGCATATATTGCCCAAAAAAGTCATATATTGCAAGATATTTACCTTTATTGGGGATAAAATGACAGATTTAGCATGATATTTACACATATTGCCCATAAAATGACAGATATTGCACTAAATATATGCATACAGATCATTTTGCATAATAAATGTCACATATTGCATGAGATTGTGTATTGCCTGTATTGCATTTAGAATGCAAAACATTGCACAAGATGTACGCATATTGACCATAAAATATCTGATCTTGCATGATATTTAAGCATATTGTGCACAAAATGTTAATGTACTTCAAACTCTTAAAATATCCCCCTACTATGAGAATTGTAAATTATCAAAATATGTAAGAATAGGGAACTTGTTTTGAAAACGTATAATTTTTTTCAACATAATGCCTTTATTGCATATAAAATGTCAGATATTGCATTAGTTTAACCCATATTGCCCATAAAAAGACAGATATTGCACTAGGTTAAACCATACTGCCCATGAAATATTAGATATTGCACATGATTTAATCCATATTGCCCATAAAATGATAGATATTGCATGAGATTAGTCAACATAGCCCATAAAATGACAAATATTGCATAAGATTTAACCCATATTGCCCATAAAATGACAGACATTGAACGAGATTTTTGCATATTCACCATATTGCTAATAAAATGTCAGATATTGCATGAGATTACACATCATTGCCCATAAAATGACAGATATTGCACAAAATTTACGCATATTGCCAATATTACACATAAACTGCCAGATTTTGGACAGGACTTAACCCATATTGCCCATAAAATGACAGATATTGCACAAGAATAACTCATATTGTTTATAAACATCACAGGTATTGCAAGATTAAACCATATTGCCCAAAAAATGTCAGATATTGCAGAAAATTAACCCATATTGCTCAAAAAATGTCAGATATTGCAGAAAATTAACCCGTATTGCCCATAAAATGTCAAATATTGCACAAGATTTAACCCATATTGCCCATGAAATGTCAGAAATCGCACATGAGTTAGCCCATAATTGCCATAAAAAGTTAGATGTTGCTCACAATTTAACCCCTATTGCCCGTTAAATGTCAGATATTGCAAAAGTGCAACCCATATTGCCCATAAAATTTCAGATATTGAACAGGATTTAACCCATATTGCCCATAAGATGTGGGATATTGTACAATATTTAACCCATATTGCACATAAAACATCAGATACTGCACAAAAATAAGCCATATTACCCATAAAATATCAGATATTGCACAGGATTTAACCCATATTGCCCATAAAATGTCACATATTGCACAAAATTGAACCCATAATTCCCATAAAATCTTAGATGTTGCACACAATTTAACCCATATTGCCCATAAAAATATAGACATTGACCGAGATTTATGCATATTGACCATATTGCAAATAAAATGTCAGATATTGCATGAGATTACACATCATTGCCCATAAAATGTCAGATATTGCATGAGATTACACATCATTGCCCATAAAATGTCAGATATTGCATGATTACACATCATTGCCCATAAAATGACAGATATTGCACAAGATTTACGCATATTGCCAATATTACACATAAACTGCCAGATATTGCACAGGATTTAACCCATATTTCCCATTAAATGTCAGATATTGCAAAAATGCAACCCATATTGCCCATAAGATGTGGGATATTGCACAAAATTTAACCTATATTGCCCATAAAATCTCAGACATTGCACAAAATTAAGCCATATTGCCCATAAAATGTTAGATGTTGCACACAATTTAACCCATATTGCCCATAAAATGATAGACATTGACCGAGATTTATGCATAATGACCATATTGCAAATAAAATGTCAGATATTGCATGAGATTACACATCATTGCCCATAAAATGTCAGATATTGCATGAGATTACACAACATTGCCCATAAAATAACAGATATTGCACGAGATTTACGCATATTGCCAATATTACACATAAACTCTCAAGTATTGCACGAAATTTACACATATTGCTCATAAAATGACAAATATTGCACAAGAATAACTCATATTGTTTATAAACATCACTGATATCGCACATGATTAAACCATAATGCCCATAAAATGTCAGATGTTGCACAAGATTTAACCCATATTGCCCATAAAATGTCAGATATTGCACAAAATTAAGCCATATTGCCCCTAAAATATCAAATATTGCACAGAATGTAACCCAAATTGCCCATAAAATGACAGAAAGTGCATGACATTACCCAATATTGCCTATAAAATAACAGATATTGCAACAGATTTACACATATTGACCATATTATACATAACATGTCAGATATTGCATGAGATTTACAAATATTGCCCATAAAATTACAGATATTGCACAAGATTAACCCATATTGACCACAAAATTACAGAAATTTCATGGGATTACCCTATATAGCCCATAAAATAACCCATATTGCACAAGAATTATGCACATTGACCGTATTGTAGATAAAAGCGTCAAGTTTTCCAGGTAATTTACAATTTTTGTCCATAAAATTACAGATATTGCAAGTGATTTCTGCATATTTTGCACTGCATTTATGCACATTGCCTATATTGCACAAAAATGTCAGATATTGCACAAGATTTACAAATATTGTACATAAAATGCCAGATATTGCATGAAATTTACACATATTGCCCATAAAATGTACAGATATTGCACAAGATTAACCCATATTGCCCATAAAATGACGAGATTTCCACTTATTTTGCACTGCATTTATGCATATAGCTCATACTGCCCATAATAAGACAGATATTGCTTTGTGTTTCAGCTCAGGAGTCCTGAGAAGCTGACAGGAATCTCCATTTCCGGGCTGTGAAGTCACGATCTAGTAGTCTCGGACTTGTGTAAACAACTATGTCAAAGGATGAGGAAATTCCGAGCCCACCTCCAGAGTGGCCGGAAGAAATTTTAGTGTAAACACGCATATCGGGGAAAAAAAGGGTCTGGAGAAGAAGTCACCATGAGGAGGAATCTCTAGGAAACTGGTGAAGCACTTAAATATCTGTACAAACTGCATGGATATACGCCGTGGATGGACATCACACACTTCAATCCTGCCTCCATGAGGGATTTGCCCTCCCCTCGTCTCGTCTGAGGTCAAGCCAACGCAACGCCACCCTGATAAGTCTGGCTTAGCTGGCCACTTGGTAAGGACACATCTTCTTTTGTTAGCATAAGCTGCTTCTTACAGCCAGGGTGTTAAACGCTACAGATCGCCACAGATTCAGGAGACGCCGCAGTGCCAGAGTGCATGCATCATGATTAGTAAACAGGTTGTTTCATTAATCGAATCAAGATGCTGAGAGCTACCAAGACATCTGCATGCACTGTATTCATCTCTCTATAGGGGCTTTGAAATCTTATATCTTATATTGTTTTATCAGATGCAATAGATATGAAAAGGAAACCTCTTTTTGGTGGTTTTCACATTAGACCATTCCCCCAGATCGAAAAGTCCCTAAGTAGAAAGCTTTTTGATTCCCATCCTAGAGCTTCAGGCTAGCATTCATCACTTACAGTTCGTTTGAGATCAGCAAGTCTTTTTTTAACTCATACCTTCAAAAGCGGATCTCAGATACAGGGGTATTTATGGCTCGCTCGATGTAAACCAGGTTAGAGAAGTTTCTGAAGAAAATCTGGTGGTATTCGGGGACTGCTTTTGGGTTAATCTGCTTTTACTCTTGAATTGGAAACTAAGAGTGTCATATGCAATAATAGCATTAATCTGACTATCAGACAAGAACTAAATCTGAACTGAATATCGAGGTGTCATTGCAATATTGTGTAAGGGTGCTTTCTGGCTCGTTATTGAATAATTCGGCAATATCAGCACTTTTTATTGAACTGAACTGAATCAAGATTGTATTGAATTGAATGACCCATTTCAAAATTGATTAAATATACACTATCCGGCAAAAGTCTTGTCGCCTATCCAAGTTTTAGGAACAATAAATAATAACTGGACTTCTGTTTGGTATCAGAATTGGCTTATATGAAAGGCAAAGGCCTCTAGATTACGCTTATTTTACCACAATAAAATAAGATCATGCCTTGATTTTTAATTATTTAATGAGGACAGTAAGGTCTGACTTGGCTTAGACAAAAGTCTCGTTACTCTACAGAAATAATGTCCAGTCTAAAACATGAAGTCATGCTGCAGTGGAAAAAGAATGGATATTGTGTCTGACTCCATCATGAGCTTGGAGGACTGCATCCATACATCTCTGCATCTGAGATGCACAATGATGCTTTTACTGAGAAGAACTAAATATTTCATGTCGAAATCAGTTAACTTTAAAACAATCCAATGTGTCATTCTGACCCCATTCTCATGTTAATCGTATATACATGCTGTATTCAAAGGGATGCTTAAGTTGTCAACATTACACATAAATTACTTTACAAAAACCTTTTATAATGAGGTCAAATTGACCCCTTTGGAGAAACATGATCAGATTTTAGGTTAAAAACACGGAAAATAATATCCATTGATTAACAGCTTCCATATTTTGTGATTGACAGTTGTTTTGTGTATATTTACCATTATAAACAGCATTGAGGCCTTGATTTCTGCTGTCTACTTTTGATGTTAAAAATTGAACTTAAATTTCGACATTTTATTTGGAATATGGGTAAATCTCTTGCAATATCTGATATTGTATGGGAATTATGGGTTAAGTCTCTTGCAATATCCCACATTTTATGGGCAATTTGGAATAACTCGTGCATTCTGACATTTTATGGGCAATATGGGTTAAATTTTGTGCAATATCTGACATTTTATAGGCAATATAGGTTACATTTTGTGCAATATCTGACATTTTATGGGCAATATGGGTTGAATTTTGTGCAATATCTGACATTTTATAGGCAATATAGGTTACATTTTGTGCAATATCTGACATTTTATGGGCAATATGGGTTGAATTTTGTGCAGTATCTGACATTTTATGAGCAATTTGTGTTAAATCTTGTGCAATATCTGACATTTTATGACCAATATGGGTTAAATCTTTTGCATTATCTGACATTTTACAGGCGACATGGGTTAAATCTTGTGCAATATTTGATATTTTATGGGCAATATGGGTTAAATCTCTAGTAATATCTGACATTTTATTTGGAATATGGGTAAATCTTGTTCAATATCTGACATTTCTTGGACAATGTCTGTCATTTTATGGGCAAAATGGGTTAAATCTCTAGCAATATCTGACATTTTATTGGCAATAGGGGGTAAATCTTGTGGATTATCTGACATTTTATGGGCGACATGGGGTAAATATGACTTTTATTTGGATTTTTGTGGATCAAATTAATATACAGTTTTTAAGAATAAAGTCTGTAAATGAAAGACGTACTGGCAATTTATTCAACCTAGATTGTTGTTGGAAAAAAGATTGAGCTTCAATATTGCAATTCAGTAAATAAATGAAATTGTTTAAATAAAATAAATAAAAAATAAAATAAAATAAATAAAAAAAAAATTAAAAAAAAAAACGCTAAAAAAATTGCACAAAGTTGACTTTGATTTTAATAGTTTGCCATATGATTTCAATAACTGCCAAAAAATGAAGTAAAATGAGAATAATGAGAGTCTCTTATTGAACATTTGAGAACGTTAACTCTCCTTTAATGCATTTAGAAAAGCGATGACCTAATCATACTCGTCAATGGAATCCAGAGCATTCTGGGTGTGCAAAGGCACGGCAGGTTAAGCTTATATTCACTTGAGCCTTTCAACTCCCATAACCTGGGATTCCATTGGGCTTAGTTTTCAAGCCTGATGAAGGTCTTCCACCGACAGGCTGTGAAATCACACTTTTCCCCCTCGACCTCAGCGGGAACTCTGGAAATCGGCTTGCAGGTACAGCGTTCAATCCATTCAAAACCCGACCTGGAGTTTTGACGCATCTCATGTTGATCCCTGCACATTTTTGTTCCACACAGACGGTCTTGGATGGGTGCGTTTTGTTTTTTCTGCCTGTCCTGCTCCGACACGCTCAGAGAAAGCTGCATTCAAGTGTGCCAGTCGCTAATCATCAGGACTTTTAAAATGCCATCACGCACAATAGCAGCGGGGTTTTATTTAGGCATGTTCCGCTCATCGGCACGCAGAACCGTCTGGATTCAGACTAACATTGTGAAAGCAAACATCCGTGGCATTCGCCAATCCAGACCGTAAAAATATTCCACGACGTAGCTGATTTATGCTTTGCAGATTTGACTATCCATTTCTAATATCTGATAGCGCAGCTGTTGCTTAACAAGAAAATCTAAATCATGTATACGCGATTAAAACAATGCATTGTGGTTTAGTTGGACAAATAATCAGGCTGGAGTATGTCCTTTTCAACTATTGATCACTAGAGGGACGCACATGTCTCTCCGGTTTGCATCTGGACTGTTATTCCAGTCAGATGTTCCAGTCTTTCCCTGCATGAGGTACATTTTTACTACCAGCCACGACAAAAAAATAAATAAATAACCGGGGTGAAAGATGGCAGGAAATGCACTCTAAAGCACACAGCGTTCACACAGAGCGGGTGAAATGACCGCTCTAACCTTTGGGAAGCTTTGGTTATATGGTGATATCAAATTCCTGCCGCAGTAAATCCTCAGTGGAACCACAAATCAAATCTCAGGACTAAACTGTTGACTTCATGTTTGGGCCCACACGGAAACTGCGCTCGCAGAAGTCTATAGGACTAAAATCCCGGTCCTTCATGAAGTACTACATATTTCCTTGTGCTGTGTGTTTGTTTAGTAAAGGAAAAGATCAAGTAAATTAAAGGATGCATTCAGCTAGAAGAATGTAATGTTCTTGTAGAGCTCTTAAAATTCACCAAAATATGAAAATATTCATTCTTATGCCATTCAATGACTTTTTACTGTGGAAGTTTGGACAAAAAGTTGAAATTCATTATAGAGCTTTTACATTCATAACATGTTGGGAAAACCTGAGGGTGAGTAAATGACAAGTTTTTTGGACACCATTTTCCACTCTTTTTTTATTTCAAGAGTTCACACTTAGCTCATGATTTATACATAGCTTGTTTGGCGTGCTGTCTCGAGAGAGAGCCCTGAGCTTAAGGGATACTCGCAGGGCAAGAAGAGATTCTCAAAGATGCTGAAGCCAAGGCAACTTCCTGAGAGTAAGATATTAGAAAAAAGATTAAGGCTTATTTTATGTATAATATAGAGCATATTTGGATGGTGGGAGGAAACCGGGGAACTTGGGGGGGTACCAACACGGACACGGGGAGAACATGCAAACTCCAGACAGAAATACCAGATGGCCCAGCGAGGACCCAATGCCATTGGTATTCTTGCTGTGAGGCAACAGTGCTAGTCACTGGGCCACCGTGCTGCCCATTCTAGATAAAGGTGGAAAAAGGGAAGGGGGGGGGTTTCTTCCAGACGAAGATAATTGTAGAAAGGAAATAAGGATATAGTTACTTGGGATCATTTGATTGGAGGATCATGATTAGCTAATGTGGACCAGCTGAGTCAATCATGAGCACGAGCTAAAGGGTTGGACCACTATGATATCCTATTTTAAACTTTAGTTGATGTGTAATGTAGCTGTGTGAACATAAACAACATCTCTGAATGGAAGACCCTCAAAAGTTGGGTTGCGTTGTTGTGAACTAAAGAGGGGGGGGGTGGGGGAGTGGTGGATGCTTGTCGCGAACTGAAGAGCCTAGGGGTTGTCGCAAACTTCAGATCATTTTGGAAGGGCATTTTCTATCCATGACTGAAAAGGGCATGTGCACTGCACAGGTTGAGTCCTATGTGTGCACGTGCCTGGGTGTTTAGATCTAGAAAAGACATTAAAATAGAGCCCATTGGCTTTTACACAGTTAGCTTAGCAAAGCCTACTGCGACGAAGTTTGAGGACTACAAAAAATACATCAGTGTTAATGATGTCACTAACCCTTCAGGTTATGCACATTCACCATGCACAGTGAAGGGGCGTGGCCAGGGGCGCTGTAAGGTTATAGAAGAGAAAGCTAGAATTAGTGTCCAAATGCTGCTATTTCCACAGAGCTTCTTCTGTTTCTGTATTTGGGCTTCCAAAGTACACAACACAAAGATAGAAGTGCTTACAATTTCATTTAAATTATGTTCCAGAGAACTAAAAAAA